GGGGGCGGGGAATTTCCAAGAGATTTTCTCCTGGAACAACAGAAAAAGAAAGGCCTCCTTGTTGTCCTTATGGGACGTACACAACTAAGTTGTTTTGGTTCGTTGGTTTTTTAAATGCCTCCTCCAGCTGAAGTTATATGACTGACACCAAATCCTTGGTTGTGTAGAGCTCACAGAGAGGGATTTTACACAAATACATGTTTTAATATAAGGTCTAGAGGCACAAAAGTGTTAAAAATGTCAGCCATGTTAATTTGAATCTTTGCTGGAAAATTTGGGCATCCAAGTAGAAAAAGACACATTTTGACCAGAGAAAAGAAAAAGGCCTTTCAAGCCCAGCAACATAAACCTTCTGGTATTCGTTGTCGACATTATCATCTTTTAGCCAGACACAGAGAGTTCTGGTGTATGTTGGCAGGCATCTGCAAGCAGCAATAGATATTTTCTGAACAGTCCATGACAGAGAGGGAAACTGGGAGCTCTTTAAAGCCTTGGCTTTAAGACAGTGCCTTGCCCCTCGCTGCCCCCTGAAAAGCACATTGTTTCTACAGTAACATTTTCCTATCATTTTAGTTCTCTGAACATGTCCCAGAAGGATCCCTGCCAGAAACAAGCCTGTGAAATACAGAAATGCTTGCAAGGTACCAGGTGTCATTTTGTCTTTTTGGTGTCTTGATTTTTGGTGGAACTTAATTCTTTTACCTTAACCCTGTTCTCCTTCTCCTTGAGAAGAAAGCAAGCAAGCACATTAGCATCACCTGGTTGCAAAGCAAACAGAATTATCATGTCTGGTTTCAACAGAATTCCCTTGTGTTTGATTGTAAATAATGACACCATTAGTACAAAACAGATCATTTGTAACAGTAATGCTGTGCTTATTTTAGTGTTCTCCATGCTGATAGTGAGATCCCATGTGTAGTCTTGGCACTGAGCTGTAGGCGGGGAGAGCTAGACATTGTAACAAGCTCTGATACAGAGTGGGTAGTGAGGTAGTGGGTGGATTGCATCAGAAGACTGCAGAGCTTCTAGCTCCTGGAGTATTTTGAGAGCAGGTCAGACAGATGTCTGTCAGGAACAGGTTAGGCATATTGATCTGACCTCAGGGTATGAGATGGTGAGATGGAGACTATTAACAGCTGTTTTGTATTATCTTAGTTAAGTATTTTATGGACAGGTAGATGATGTGATGTGTTTTGGCAGCCTGAGCTGGGGAGACCAGGCTTGTTACTTGCAGAGGACAATATTTTTTAAAAATTCTGATTGTTTCTTGGAAAAGGATTTGCATTATGGAATTAATAAGATATTCCTCTGTGCCATGGCAGCTCAGCCATATGGAAAGGAGTTCTTCCTAACTCACCTGGTGGAGCCCTTAGCCAGCATGCTCTGAGCTTCACCTGAGAATAACTAATGGTGTTAGCCCAGGAAGCTAGCATTAGCAGGGAGTTAGCAGGAGGCTAGTGACACCACAGCTAAAATTAGCCAGACCAGTTCCACAGCAACTCGTTTCCACCTTTGATTTCTTTGCAGGCTACAAGCAAGTTAGCTAAAATATAGCAGGGAGGGAGGAGGGTTCTTTCCAGGGAAGCAGAGGGATAGCTTTGCAAGCTGCAGCAAACAGTGACTGCAATCTGTGCAGGTAATACAACAACCCCAGTGACTGGGGAGGAGCATGGGAGGAAAAGCATCTGGGAAAAAGTAGTGGAAAGTGGTAATCCATCATTGGTAGATGTCTGTCTTTCCCAAGATTGTTTTTTGGAAGCTGTGTTCAGCTCAAAGCAATGGCTCAAACAACCCTCTCTACACATCCCCGGTATTTGTCTATATATGACTTTTTACTGTCTTCATGGTTTGGAGCATTCTCCCATGAAGGGCTGCCTTCTCTCCCCATAGTAGCTGCACTTAAAAGCTAATGTTTGACTCTGTTTTGGTCCCATCTGTGACAATGTTCTTTTTATAATATTCATGGAAGTGACTCCAAGAGTTTTACCTGTGTAGGTTTGTGTACAGATGTGATCTGAGTGGTTAAGTGTTAGCAAAGCAGTTCTTTGCTACGTGCACTGTCTGCTGCTTCTCTAGCTATCGTTTTGCAGTGGTGGTGTTCACGTACTGTCGTGCTGTGGAGTTGTCTAAGTTGCACAGATGAAGCAGCTGAGCTGACAGACAGTAAAGCATTTTTTTCCCTGTAAGAATTAATGTGAATAGAGGGTGTATACAGAGCCTTAACTGACAAATATGCAGAGACAGTGTACACAGTGCAGAGGATGGAGGGTGGAAGCAGGACCTCTGGGAGATGCTGGCTTTTCAAAGGCTGGTTTTGGAGTGGATCATTGTTCCAAAACATCTTGCCTGCTTCCTCTGTGAGACTGAATTCCCACTGTGAATCTCTTGTGTTTTCCTATCCATTGTCTAACTAACCTGTTGTGCTTTTCAGTAATGCATCCTTGACAGATAGCAGGGTGTGCCTGTATGTAGTCACAGTCCTAGAAACAAACCTGCACAGGCAGAGGAACAGTTAGGTGAGCCTTGGAGCACTCATCATCTGCAGAGAGACATTACTTGTCCTCTCCAAGGGCCTGCCATGCCTCCTAGGCTGCCAGTGTGCACAAAGCAGTGACATCACTATTATCTTTTTCTCAGGGGTGATCTTTGCTTGTGTTACAGGTCACTCACCCAGCCAATTGGGGAACTCAGCCCTGCAATCAGAGCAGGCTGGCTTGCTTGTTAATTGTAAGGCATTCGCTGCTGCTTGCTGGGCTGTCCAGCGAGTGCTGTGTTAGTCTCACATCAGGTTGCTGTTGCTTCTTTTAGTCTCAAAAATCAGTGGCAGGTGCAAGGGAGTGAGTGCAGCTATGTAGTTTTTGTGTAGCTCATGCAAGGCAGAGTGAGTAGCTCTGCACGCCGTGTGCTTCTACACAGACACACGGGTAGTTATTATTCAAGCCGCAGACTCAGTCTGCTCACATACCTGCAGGGCTCCTCTCCAAGAGCCAGGTAGGCAGCCCTGCAAAGCACTGTGGGCTTTACCATGACAGTGGCAGCCAGCAAAGCACTAGGGCACAAAGAATGCTGGACAAATCACCTGTGTCCTGCAGTGCCTGAACCTGCCCGCACAGTGAAATCTCTCCAGGCCTGAAACAGGCAATGTGGAGAGAGAGTACAGAGGTAGGTGTAGCTGTGCCATACACAAAGGTGTGAGCCCAGTCCTCCCAGACTAGGAACTCATTTAGCCCTGTATCCCAGTTCCAGCAGTGTCCAAGACGGGAAGCCCAGGAAGGAAAGTGAGTGGAGGTCAAGTAACAGTTGTGTGGCTAAGGGACCTCCCAAGCTAGAGCTGGGACCTTTGTGTGGAAGGTGGTCATGTCACTGGCTCTGTGCAGCTGGATTCAGCTGCTGGTGTCTGGCTAAACATTCCTTTCAGTGTGCTGCCTGCTTTGGTCATGCTGCAAAGCTCCAGCCTGCCCACAACAGGCCATCAGCAGGAGGCTGACAGTCATGCTCCTTTCCCCTTCCTTTTACAAATGCTGCAGTGCTGCAGGGTGCGCATGTCCCCTTTTATACCATGTCCTCTTTGGATGCTCTTATATTTACATCCAGCTGTAAACCTTATAGTGACAGCGCTGGGATGAAGACCATGCATGACAAGATCCAGCTTAAAAGCACAGAGGATAAAGAAAGGAAGGATTGAAGGGCAACAATAAAGGAAACCACATTCTTACTGTAGTGAGATGTGATAGCTATAAACTGAGAGCAGTTTTTGTAGAGCAGAAAAAGCTTGTAAGCAGGTTTTGATTTTCAGAGAAACAGGCTGTCCAGCAGCTGAAGGGTTGGGCTAGATGTGTCCCCTCTGGGGACAAAACCTGTTGCCCTCTGCAGACAGTCTCTCCTTCTTATTTTCCAGTGAACAACTACATGGAGTCTAAATGTGAAACTGTGCTTCAGGAAATGCGCAAGTGCTGTGCCCGGTACCCCAAGGGCCGATCCATCTGTTGTTCAGGGTTTGAGAAAGAAGAAAGGGAGAGAGAAAAGTTTAAGGCGACTTCAGAAGGAATTCTCCTACCACCTCAGTAACACAGTGCAGCTCCAGCAGGTGCCGGAGCACAGACTGACCTGTGGAGCCTGTGTGTGTTTTTTCAAGCCTTCTTTAGACTTTAAGAAAAGCCAGATCGCTCCTAGAACACACCGTCCGGCACACCAAAAAGTATAATGCAGTACCAATAGATGGCCTGGTTAACAGACTTTATTTTCTGTACCAAAACATCATCTACATTGTCTTTGCATTGCACCTGTGTCTGTGAAAAGTCAACTTGATGTTTTTAGAATGCTTACCTTACTCTAATCCCTCCTTGCTCTCAAAATGGAGAACTGGAACCAAGTTATTCTGGCTTCTGGAGCGAGAGGTACAGGAAATGAGCTTAGAAGAGTGAGTGAGTTTAAGCATGACACATGAAACAAGCCCATCTTGACACAGCAAAGGTCATCATGTTCCAGATATTTGCCTGTCCAGTGGTTCAAGCTCAAGAACGGGAATCAGGTCTGGGGATTGTTCCTAGGTCTTGCATAGATCATGAGTGACTACAAGTCACTTTGCCTAAGTGCCTCACTTTCCCACTGGACAGACTTTTGGTTACTTTCTATTTGAATTGCCTACACGCTGCTATTTGCATGACAGAGATGTTACAGGAACATTTCAGGGATTGCTACAGGAATAGGG